AATGTAGGAAATTACAATTGAAATGATAAACTTTTATATGCCCCTCTTACGAAGTCCAAGCGTACTTTATTTTTCCAATTTGTTCCAAAAAGTTATTTCAGAACATGTATACGATCCATTGAACTAGTGTAGTACCAATGTATAACTATACTGACAAAGATTGGCTTCCTAGAAAACTTCTTAAAAGAATATTCCAGAAAAAGAGTTCTAGAAATAATGGTTAAGTTATTAGTTCCATATACATATTAAATTCAAGAATCTGAAAAGTGCATTTTTTGCACTCATTCTAGAACTAGTTTTTATATATTTTTGTAAAAAAAGTCATTGTTTAAAAATTTATTCCACACCATCACATTGTTCAGTTATTCTTGACTTTAACCGCATTTTAATATTGTCGCCCTTCCCGCACCCATCTTGAGTTTGCAAATAAAATCTTAAAATAAGATTCGCAATCACTAATGTAAATTACCGTCTAGATGAAAAGTCAACAACATTTGTGTTTAAATAACAGACAATGGTTTTAGTTTATAAAGACTTTAAGCCAAACAGTTTAAATGTATTTCTCAGTCTTTATAGATTTTTGCAATAATGGGATTTGGTTTGAAGAGGGTATAAAAAAAAAGAAAAGTGAAAAATTCTTTGTTGTTTTCTCTTTTTTGACAGGAATTATATTTCTCTTTGTTTTTGTCTGAGAAATTTTTGGCGGAAATAAATTTAAACATAAATATACGTATTTCTTTGTGGCTAGTTTACTCATTTATAGTTTATTTTGAACTTAAAGTACTTATACACTTTTTCCCTTTCTATTTTTTTTTTAAGAAAACGTGGTGACGAATTATAATTCATACAAGTTGAAGAATTTGTTTTTGAATACTGTTGTACATTATTCAATCTATATTTAACAGTTGTATATAAATTTGAAATTCTAGGAATATTCTCGAAAAATTTTAAAATTAAGATTCTTTTTAGTTTTTTTTTTCATATTTTTCACTATATTAAACATATTTCTATGTTTCTCTCTCCTTCTCTCAATTTCGCCTAACATTGTTATTTATATATTTTTATATTATGCTTAAAGCTTTTTAGAGAAACAAACCCCACAAACCAACCCCTCTTTACTAGGCACCTTGCCATTAGGTTTTTAAATAATACAAATAAAATAAATAGGTCATCGTTCTCCCCCTTGAAAAGTTCTTATCATTAATACTGTTTTTTTTGCTTCTATATTTTTGTTTATAACAAAATGACGTTATCGCTTATGAAAACAACGAACATAACATTTCTTTTAAATGTTTTCTCAGCACGCTTTCAAATTTTTTTATAGATTGTCCTGCCTTCTTAGAGCTTTGTATTAATAAAAGTGTTTGAATCCATATGTTATGGCAATTTTAACTTTATAATAACAGTGTTGTTTTAAAAGCATGAAAATAATATCATACTCTTTAATTACCAACTATGTCACCAATTATTCCTTATTTATAATCATGTTTTGTTTATTGCCTTAGGTCAGTATTTAGTTAATAATTTTATATGAGTGTTGATTTTTAAGTGTTATCGTAAAAATTAATCTTGAAATTATAGAGTACACATACTTACTTATTAGCTACTTTTTAATTGATAAGGAAATTGTTTTTAATTGTTTGTCTCATGAGGGTATTGTTATGTTAGGAAAATCGAAGCAAAAGATTATGTCCACATTAGTATTAAGTATGTGACTCTTAGGATCTACAGTTGCCAACTGAAATTTATTTTCAAAACAACTTTCAAACCCCTTTGCTATTTTCAAAATTCCATAACTTTGCTTTCATATAACATTTCCTTAAATACTAATTTTTCTATACAATAATTAAAAAACCATGAATTTTGCATTCACCATTTTAAAACTTTTTATTTTTTCATTTTCAATTTGCACCTACACGTTAAGTTTTTTTTTGCTCCTAATATTTTGTATTTCTTATACATTTTCGCACTTGTCATTCATCTCATTCCAGAGATGGAAAACGAAACTATATAGAAAATTGTTATATACAAATTTTTCTATTTCTAGTTCAGTTCTAGTTCAGTTCTAGTTTAGTTCTAGTTGAGTTCTAGTTCAGTTCTAGTTCAGTTCTAGTTCAGTTCTAGTTCTAGTTCAGTTCTAGTTCAGTTCTAGTTCAGTAGTTCAGTTCTAGTTCAGTTCTAGTTCAGTTCTAGTTCAGTTCTAGTTCAGTTCTAGTTCAGTTCTAGTTCAGTTCTAGTTCAGTTCTAGTTCAGTTCTAGTTCAGTTCTAGTTCAGTTTCTAGTTCAGTTCTAGTTCAGTTCTAGTTCAGTTCTAGTTCAGTTCTAGTTCAGTTCTAGTTCAGTTTCTAGTTCAGTTCTAGTTCAGTTTCTAGTTCAGTTCTAGTTCAGTTCTAGTTCAGTCTAGTTCAGTTCTAGTTCAGTTCTAGTTCAGTTCTAGTTCACAGTTCTAGTTCAGTTCTAGTTCAGTTCTAGTTCAGTTCTAGTTCAAGTTCTAGTTCAGTTCTAGTTCAGTTCTATTCAGTGTCTAGTTCAGTTCTCGTTCGTTCTAGTTCAGTTCTAGTTTCAGTTCTAGTTCAGTTCTAGTTCAGTTCTCTAGTTTCAGTTCTAGTTTCAGTTCTAGTCGTTCTATTTGAGTTCTAGTTCAGTTTCTAGTTCAGTTTTCTAGTTCAGTTCTAGTTCAGTTTCTAGTTCAGTTCTAGTTCAAGTTCTAGTTCAGTTCTAGTTCAGTTCTAGTTCAGTTCTAGTTCAGTTCTAGTTCAGTTCTAGTTCAGTTCTAGTTCAGTTCTAGTTCAGTTCTAGTTCAGTTCTAGTTCAGTTCTAGTTCAGTTCTAGTTCAGTTCTAGTTCAGTTCTAGTTCAGTTCTAGTTCAGTTCTAGTTCAGTTCTAGTTCAGTTCTAGTTCAGTTCTAGTTCAGTTCTAGTTCAGTTCTAGTTCAGTTCTAGTTCAGTTCTAGTTCAGTTCTAGTTCAGTTCTAGTTCAGTTCTAGTTCAGTTCTAGTTCAGTTCTAGTTCAGTTCTAGTTCAGTTCTAGTTCAGTTCTAGTTCAGTTCTAGTTCAGTTCTAGTTCAGTTCTAGTTCAGTTCTAGTTCAGTTCTAGTTCAGTTCTAGTTCAGTTCTAGTTCAGTTCTAGTTCAGTTCTAGTTCAGTTCTAGTTCAGTTCTAGTTCAGTTCTAGTTCAGTTCTAGTTCAGTTCTAGTTCAGTTCTAGTTCAGTTCTAGTTCAGTTCTAGTTCAGTTCTAGTTCAGTTCTAGTTCAGTTCTAGTTCAGTTCTAGTTCAGTTCTAGTTCAGTTCTAGTTCAGTTCTAGTTCAGTTCTAGTTCAGTTCTAGTTCAGTTCTAGTTCAGTTCTAGTTCAGTTCTAGTTCAGTTCTAGTTCAGTTCTAGTTCAGTTCTAGTTCAGTTCTAGTTCAGTTCTAGTTCAGTTCTAGTTCAGTTCTAGTTCAGTTCTAGTTCAGTTCTAGTTCAGTTCTAGTTCAGTTCTAGTTCAGTTCTAGTTCAGTTCTAGTTCAGTTCTAGTTCAGTTCTAGTTCAGTTCTAGTTCAGTTCTAGTTCAGTTCTAGTTCAGTTCTAGTTCAGTTCTAGTTCAGTTCTAGTTCAGTTCTAGTTCAGTTCTAGTTCAGTTCTAGTTCAGTTCTAGTTCAGTTCTAGTTCAGTTCTAGTTCAGTTCTAGTTCAGTTCTAGTTCAGTTCTAGTTCAGTTCTAGTTCAGTTCTAGTTCAGTTCTAGTTCAGTTCTAGTTCAGTTCTAGTTCAGTTCTAGTTCAGTTCATTCTAGTTCAGTTCTAGTTCAGTTCTAGTTCAGTTCTAGTTCAGTTCTAGTTCAGTTCTAGTTCAGTTCTAGTTCAGTTCTAGTTCAGTTCTAGTTCAGTTCTAGTTCAGTTCTAGTTCAGTTCTAGTTCAGTTCTAGTTCAGTTCTAGTTCAGTTCAGTTCAGTAGTTCAGTTCTAGTTCAGTTCTAGTTCAGTTCTAGTTCAGTTCTAGTTCAGTTCTAGTTCAGTTCTAGTTCAGTTCTAGTTCAGTTCTAGTTCAGTTCTAGTTCAGTTCTAGTTCAGTTCTAGTTCAGTTCTAGTTCAGTTCTAGTTCAGTTCTAGTTCAGTTCTAGTTCAGTTCTAGTTCAGTTCTAGTTCAGTTCTAGTTCAGTTCTAGTTCAGTTCTAGTTCAGTTCTAGTTCAGTTCTAGTTCAGTTCTAGTTCAGTTCTAGTTCAGTTCTAGTTCAGTTCTAGTTCAGTTCTAGTTCAGTTCTAGTTCAGTTCTAGTTCAGTTCTAGTTCAGTTCTAGTTCAGTTCTAGTTCAGTTCTAGTTCAGTTCTAGTTCAGTTCTAGTTCAGTTCTAGTTCAGTTCTAGTTCAGGTCTAGTTCAGTTCTAGTTCAGTTCTAGTTCAGTTCTAGTTCAGTTCTAGTTCAGTTCTAGTTCAGTTCTAGTTCAGTTCTAGTTCAGTTCTAGTTCAGTTCTAGTTCAGTTCTAGTTCTGTTCTAGTTCAGTTCTAGTTCAGTTCTAGTTCAGTTCTAGTTCAGTTCTAGTTCAGTTCTAGTTCAGTTCTAGTTCAGTTCTAGTTCAGTTCTAGTTCAGTTCTAGTTCAGTTTTAGTTCAGTTCTAGTTCAGTTCTAGTTCAGTTCTAGTTCAGTTCTAGTTCAGTTCTAGTTCAGTTCTAGTTCAGTTCTAGTTCAGTTCTAGTTCAGTTCTAGTTCAGTTCTAGTTCAGTTCTAGTTCAGTTCTAGTTCAGTTCTAGTTCAGTTCTAGTTCAGTTCTAGTTCAGTTCTGGTTCAGTTCTAGTTCAGTTCTAGTTCAGTTCTAGTTCAGTTCTAGTTCAGTTCTAGTTCAGTTCTAGTTCAGTTATAGTTCAGTTCTAGTTCAGTTCTATTCTATTAGTTCTATTTTAGTTCTAGTTCAGTAGTTACTGAATACGGTGTTAAATCTCCATCTCTGTTAAATCACCAATAAGCTCTCAACTTCAATTTAAAAATAAATTAATATAAACTTCTCTTTTCCACAAAACCTTTTCCAGTTTTTATATAGACAGTACAACATCCACATTACTTTTATCATCGGATAACGAACCGTCATCACATACTGCTCAAAACGCACCTATACACAATTTTACAAATCACAACAATCATCACAATAATAACAATTGCAACAGCAATAACAACAGTCGGAATCCTGCCACCACGTCTATACCAATGACGAAATTAGCACCATTTGAAGATCCACCTGAAATTGAATTAAATGCTCCAAATGATTATTTCGAGAAACACGAACAAAATCCCTCATTGTTTTTCGATGATGGTGTGAGATCAATAGATTTTGTTTTAGTTTATAAAATCGATCAGCAGCATCAGGTGCTGGAAGAAGATCATGCCGAAAAGCGTAGAGTATTTGAGGCCAATTTGGAGGCAGAAGGTTTGGAAATTGAGAGGGTGTGCAAGGAGAAAGAACAAATATATTTTGTTAAGGTAAGAGTGAAGAGATGAAATGTATAAATTGTTTATTATGTTATTTTTGTTTTTACAGATACATGCCCCTTGGAGGTATTGAGGCGTTATGCGGAAATTTTAAAACTGCGTATGCCCATGAAAGAGGTATTAAGATTTTGTTGAAATAATTTTTATTCTTATTTCTTTATTATGTTTGTCAAAATTATATTTAAATTTTTATCTTAATTTTATGATGTTTTTTGATTTTATACTCTTGATTTTATTATTATTTTTCTTATATGGTCTTGTTAAGTTTTCTTTTATTTATTATTTTATATATATTTTTTAATTATAGTTAAAATGCACGTGAAATATTTATCACAAACTAGTCGTCTACGTAATGTAGTCAATAATTTATCAAGAAAGGTCTGAATCATTGTTTTATAATTTCTACAAAAAAGACCAACAACTTTTTTATAACAAATTCTGTTTCATTAACCAAACACGAAAAATTCAAAAAATATCAATATTGTTTTTCTTAATCCTTGGCTTTTAGTTTCATTTCCTTGTGCTTAAGTTTTAGGGAATGTATTTCTTTTGCTATAATATTGTTTTGTTCAGCTTTTGTTTTTGTCTTTTATTTTGATTGATTGGCAAGTTTTGTTGCACTTCTTTTCAGTTTTTTTTTAATAAAAATTATTTTTTAAGTTCCGTTTTTTATATATCATATTTTCCTCAAATTTTTTAATTCAGATACCTGGCATGTCAGTAGTGAATCGCTCCACCCGCAGTGTATTTTCTAGTCTTAAAGGTATTTTCACATTTTTCATGAAACATATTTATGTGGATGAACGTTATTTTCCACGGCGCACACAGCGTTTTACTGCCATCTATAGTCGTGATAAGGAATATTTGTAAGTATTTGATTTTAAAAATTTTTTTCTCGAATATTTGGTTCTGTTCTAGTTCTGTTCTAGCTCTGTTCTAGTTCTGTTCTAGTTCTGTTCTAGTTTTGTTCTAGTTCTGTTCTAGTTCTGTTCTAGTTCTGTTCTAGTTCTGTTCTAGTTCTGTTCTAGTTCTGTTCTAGTTCTGTTCTAGTTCTGTTCTAGTTCTGTTCTAGTTCTGTTCTAGTTCTGTTCTAGTTCTGTTCTAGTTCTGTTCTAGTTCTGTTCTAGTTCTGTTCTAGTTCTGTTCTAGTTCTGTTCTAGTTCTGTTCTAGTTCTGTTCTAGTTCTGTTCTAGTCTGTTCTAGTTCTTTCTAGTCTGTTCTAGTTCTGTTCTAGTTCTGTTCTAGTTCTGTTCTAGTTCTGTTCTAGTTCTGTTCTAGTTCTGTTCTAGTTCTGTTCTAGTTCTGTTCTAGTTCTGTTCTAGTTCTGTTCTAGTTCTGTTTCTAGTTCAGTTCTAGTTCTGTTCTAGTTCTGTTCATTTGTTCTAGTTCTGTTCTAGTTCTGTTCTAGTTCTGTTCTAGTTCTGTTCTAGTTCTGTTCTAGTTCTGTTCTAGTTCTGTTCTAGTTCTGTTCTAGTTCTGTTCTAGTTCTGTTCTAGTTCTGTTCTAGTTCTAGTTCTGTTCCAGTTTGTTCAGTTCTGTTCTAGTTCTGTTCTAGTTCTGTTCTAGTTGTTTCTAGTTCTGTTCTAGTTCTGTTCTAGTTCTGTTCTAGTTCTGTTCTAGTTCTGTTCTAGTTCTGTTCTAGTTCTGTTCTAGTTCTGTTCTAGTTCTGTTCTAGTTCTGTTCTAGTTCTGTTCTAGTTCTGTTCTAGTTCTGTTCTAGTTCTGTTCTAGTTCTGTTCTGTTCTAGTTCTGTTCTAGTTCTGTTCTAGTTCTGTTCTAGTTCTGTTCTAGTTCTGTTCTAGTTCTGTTCTAGTTCTGTTCTAGTTCTGTTCTAGTTCTGTTCTAGTTCTGTTCTAGTTCTGTTCTAGTTCTGTTCTAGTTCTGTTCTAGTTCTGTTCTAGTTCTGTTCTAGTTCTGTTCTAGTTCTGTTCTAGTTCTGTTCTAGTTCTGTTCTAGTTCTGTTCTTGTTCTGTTCTAGTTCTGTTCTAGTTCTGTTCTAGTTCTGTTCAGTTCTGGTCTAGTTCTGTTCTAGTTCTGTTCTAGTTCTGTTCTAGTTCTGTTCTAGTTCTGTTCTAGTTCTGTTCTAGTTCTGTTCTAGTTCTGTTCTAGTTCTGTTCTAGTTCTGTTCTAGTTCTTTCTAGTTCTTTCTAGTTTCTATGTTTGTTCTAGTTCTGTTCTAGTCTGTTCTAGGTTTCTGTTCTAGTTCCTGTTCTAGTTCTGTTCTAGTTGTGTTCTAGTTGTGTTCTTTTCTGTTCTAGTTTCTAGTTCTGTTCTAGTTCTGTTCTAGTTCTGTTCTAGTTCTGTTCTAGTTCTGTTCTAGTTCTGTTCTAGTTCTGTTCTAGTTCTAGTTCTGTTCTAGTTCTGTTCTTCTGTTCTGTCTGTTCTGTTCTGTCTAGTTCTGTTCTAGTTCTGTTCTAGCTCTGTTCTAGTTTCTGTTTCTACTTCTGTTCTAGTCCTGTTCTAGTTCTGTTTCTAGTTCGTTTCTAGTTCTGTTCTAGTCCTTTAGTTTAAGAAGTTCAGAGAAAGATTTAAAGAAATGTCTTTACAAATTTTCCAGATTTGATATACGTCAGGATAACTTTTTACACCTGCTGTCCGATCGCGTATTGTGCATTCATATTGGATCGTCAACGTTTTAACACCGAAAAATAAAGATGAAATGGCATTTGGCATTGAACGTTTAGTGACCTAGAATGTCTATTGTGCAGCCTATCCTTTGCACGATGTAAGTTTTAACTAAAACAAAATATTTAATATAAATAATCTCTACCTACTCTCTATCTGTCTTCCTTAGGGTGAAATCTATGAAAAACACACGATGCGTATACTTTAAGTACACACTGGGCTTCCATTAGTAAATGGTATCGTTATCAACCGTTGGATTATGTTAAAGAATATTTTGGTGTTAAAATCGGTTTATATTTTGCTTGGTTGGGTTTCTACACCTACATGTTGATGTTGGCGGCTGTTGGGGTTTAATATGTTTTCTATACTCGTTGCTTACGCTCAAGGATATGTACCTGTGTAAGTTATTGTCATATTATTCATATGTATGTATTTCTCAATTATTAATTCATTGTTTTGTTTTAATTTAGCCAGGAAGTTTGCTCGAATACAAAACAAATATAACCATGTGTCCTTTGTGTAATTGGTGTAACTTTTGGGACCTGAAAGAGACTTGTTTCTATGCCAAATTTCCTATTTAATTGACAATCCTAGTACGCTATTCTTTACTGTCTTTATGTCCTTTTGGGCTGCACTATTTCTTGAACTATGGAAACGTTATTCAGCCGAAATAACTCATCGTTGGGATTTAACGGGTTTCGATGTGCATGAAGAACATCCCAGGCCTCAGTATTTAGCACGTTTACAACATTTACCCAATACTCGTACGGATTATGTGACAAATATTAAAGAACCTACTGTGCCCTTTTGGCGCATGAAATTTCCTGCCGCTGTTTTTAGCTTTTCGGTTGTGTTACTTTTAATAGCCTTAGCTTTTGTGGCTTTGGTGGGTGTTGTTATATATCGTGTGTCTATGTTGGCCATCCTGAAAGTGGGCGATAACCCAATGAATACCTCGAGTGCTATAATGTTGGCCTCTGCTTCGGCGGCCTTTTTGAATCTGTGTTTCCTTTATGTACTTAATTATGTAAGTATTATTTTCATTTTGTTTTTTAGCAATTTCATTAATGTTGTTGCTTATTTGCAGTTATACAATCATTTAGCCGATTATTTAACTGAAAAAGAAATGTGGCGTACTCAAACTCAATTTGACGATTCTTTGACTTTAAAAATATATCTGTTGCAATTTGTTAACTATTATGCTTCCATATTTTATATAGCCTTTTTCAAAGGCAAATTTGTGGGTCATCCAGCGAAATATCATAAAATCTTTGATGAGCGACAAGAAGAGGTAAGTTTGTTCGTTGACTGGAGTTCAGTTCTAGTTCAGTTCTAGTTCAGTTCTAGTTCAGTTCTAGTTCAGTTCTAGTTCAGTTCTAGTTCAGTTCTAGTTCAGTTCTAGTTCAGTTCTAGTTCAGTTCTAGTTCAGTTCTAGTTCAGTTCTAGTTCAGTTCTAGTTCAGTTCTAGTTCAGTTCTAGTTCAGTTCTAGTTCAGTTCTAGTTCAGTTCTAGTTCAGTTCTAGTTCAGTTCTAGTTCAGTTCTAGTTCAGTTCTAGTTCAGTTCTAGTTCAGTTCTAGTTCAGTTCTAGTTCAGTTCTAGTTCAGTTCTAGTTCAGTTCTAGTTCAGTTCTAGTTCAGATCTAGTTCAGTTCTAGTTCAGTTCTTGTTCAGTTTTTCAGTTCTAGTTCAGTTCTAGTTCAGTTCTAGTTCAGTTCTAGTTCAGTTCTAGTTCAGTTCTAGTTTTCTAGTTCAGTTCTAGTTCAGTTCTAGTTCAGTTCTAGATCAGTTCTAGTTCAGTTCTAGTTCAGTTCTAGTTCAGTTCTAGATCAGTTCTAGTTCAGTTCTAGTTCAGTTCTAGTTCAGTTCTAGTTCAGTTCTAGTTCAGTTCTAGTTCAGTTCTAGTTCAGTTCTAGTTCAGTTCTAGTTCAGTTCTAGTTCAGTTCTAGTTCAGTTCTAGTTCAGTTCTAGTTCAGTTCTAGTTCAGTTCTAGTTCAGTTCTAGTTCAGTTCTAGTTCAGTTCTAGTTCAGTTCTAGTTCAGTTCTAGTTCAGTTTCTAGTTCAGTTCTAGTTCAGTTCTAGTTCAGTTCTAGTTCAGTTCTAGTTCAGTTCTAGTTCAGTTCTAGTTCAGTTCTAGTTCAGTTCTAGTTCAGTTCTAGTTCAGTTCTAGTTCAGTTCTAGTTCAGTTCTAGTTCAGTTCTAGTTCAGTTCTAGTTCAGTTCTAGTTCAGTTCTAGTTCAGTCTAGTCAGTTCTAGTTCAGTCTAGTTCAGTTCTAGTTCAGTTCTAGTTCAGTTCTAGTTCAGTTCTAGTTCAGTTCTAGTTCAGTTCTAGTTCAGTTCTAGTTCAGTTCTAGTTCAGTTCTAGTTCAGTTCTAGTTCAGTTCTAGTTCAGTTCTAGTTCAGTTCTAGTTCAGTTCTAGTTCAGTTCTAGTTCAGTTCTAGTTCAGTTCTAGTTCAGTTCTAGTTCAGTTCTAGTTCAGTTCTAGTTCAGTTCTAGTTCAGTTCTAGTTCAGTTCTAGTTCAGTTCTAGTTCAGTTCTAGTTCAGTTCTAGTTCAGTTCTAGTTCAGTTCTAGTTCAGTTCTAGTTCAGTTCTAGTTCAGTTCTAGTTCAGTTCTAGTTCAGTTCTAGTTCAGTTCTAGTTCAGTTCTAGTTCAGTTCTAGTTCAGTTCTAGTTCAGTTCTAGTTCAGTTCTAGTTCAGTTCTAGTTCAGTTCTAGTTCAGTTCTTTCTAGTTCAGTTCTAGTTCAGTTCTAGTTCAGTTCTAGTTCAGTTCTAGTTCAGTTCTAGTTCAGTTCTAGTTCAGTTCTAGTTCAGTTCTAGTTCAGTTCTAGTTCAGTTCTAGTTCAGTTCTAGTTCAGTTCTAGTTCAGTTCTAGTTCAGTTCTAGTTCAGTTCTAGTTCAGTTCTAGTTCAGTTCTAGTTCAGTTCTAGTTCAGTTCTAGTTCAGTTCTAGTTCAGTTCTAGTTCAGTTCTAGTTCAGTTCTAGTTCAGTTCTAGTTAATAATAATAAAAAGAAAAAGTTCAGTTCTAGTTCTGTTCTAGTTCAGTTCTAGTTCAGTTCTAGTTCAGTTCTAGTTCAGTTCTAGTTCAGTTCTAGTTCAGTTCTAGTTCAGTTCTAGTTCAGTTCAGTCCAGTTCTAGTTCAGTTCAGTTCTAGTTCAGTTCTAGTTCAGTTCAGTTCAGTTCTAGTTCAGTCTAGTTCAGTTCTAGTTCAGTTCTAGTTCAGTTCTAGTTCAGTTCTAGTTCAGTTCTGGTTCAGTTCTAGTTCAGTTCTAGTTCAGTTCTAGTTCAGTTCTAGTTCAGTTCTAGTTCAGTTCTAGTTCAGTTCTAGTTCAGTTCTAGTTCAGTTCTAGTTCAGTTCTAGTTCAGTTCTAGTTCAGTTCTAGTTCAGTTCTAGTTCAGTTCTAGTTCAGTTCTAGTTCAGTTCTAGTTCAGTTCTAGTTCAGTTCTAGTTCAGTTCTAGTTCAGTTCTAGTTCAGTTCTAGTTCAGTTCTAGTTCAGTTCTAGTTCAGTTCTAGTTCAGTTCTAGTTCAGTTCGAGTTCAGTTCCAGTTCAGTTCTAGTTCAGTTCTAGTTCAGTTCTAACTCAGTTCTGGTACTGTGCTTCAGTCGTGTCTATTGTCTGTAACTGATAGGTATGTTCAACTTTCTTGTATATTCTTCTTTCAGTGTTCCTCCGGAGGGTGTTTAACTGAACTGTGTATCCAACTGGCCATTATAATGATTGGTAAACAGGCCTTTAATTCCATCTTAGAAGTTATAATGCCAAAAATTTGGCGTAAAATTATGGCTTTAAAAGTGGGTCTAACAAGATGTTTTCACCAAAGAAGACAAGCATCACAAAGATACCGAAAGATGGTGGAGAGATTTAAAAATTACTAGATTGGGGTCCACGGTCATTATTCCCGGAATATTTAGAAATGGGTAATGTATACAAAAATGCAGCTTATATAAAATGTTTAAAGAAAATTTAAAATTCTTTTTTTTCACTAGTTTTACAATATGGTTTTGTAACCATATTTGTGGCTGCCTTTCCTTTAGCACCATTTTTTGCTCTACTTAATAATATTCTAGAAATGCGTTTAGATGCCAAAAAACTTTTAACCCATCATAGAAGGCCGGTGTCGCAGAGAGTCCGCGATATAGGTGTTTGGTATCGCATTCTAGATTGTATAGGCAAACTAAGTGTCATAACAAATGTAAGTTTTAATATTATATTTTAGTATTTGTATATATTTTAACGACTTTTTTATATTCTTAGGGTTTTATTATAGCCTTTACCTCTGACATGATTCCCAGATGGGTTTATCGTGGCTAAATTCGGAGGATGGTTCCTTACATGGTTACTTAAACTTTACTTTATCAGAATTCCGTACAAGTGATTCAGATTCAGAATTGCGCAGTTTATCTGCTAAATACAATATAACCTCTTGCAAGTAAGTAATTTCACTTATAAATTTTATTGATTTTTTTATTTGAATTATTCTTTTTTTTTTTGTTATATTTGCAGATACACAGATTTTCGTGAACCACCTACCTCACCGAATAAATATGATTTAAGTAGTACTTTTTATATAATTTTGGCTTGTCGTTTAGGTTTTGTTGTGGTATTTGAGGTAAGTTTTTCTAACAAAAATTTTCTGTTTTCTAAAAAAAAATGTTAAAATTAAGTCTCATTTTGAATATAAATTAAATCCCATATAGTGTATTTGTTGTTCTTTTTTTGCCTTAAACCTTAACATGTTGAAACATTCCCGAAGCCTCCACAATACTATCCTGTAAGACTTGATTTTCTTGTCGTTGCAGTTTTAAGAATTTACACAACCAGTAAATGGCAAAAGAAAACATTACATTGAACACTGTAAATTAAACAGAATATTTGATAGAAGGTTTCGTTTTGAAAAATATTAAAATTAACTTACTGATAAATATGCCAATATTATGCTGCGTACTATACGTTTGTCTGTGGCCGCATCGATTTCATTATATTTCATTTCCATAAATATATAAGTGGTTACTTCTACCAATACCGAAATTATAGTGTTTAATTAGCCATGGTGCTATGCAAATGGTGCGCTTCTATAAAAGGGATAGATTTAATAAAGATTGTAAAGCATAAAACAATTAGAACTGAACTAGAACTGAACTAGAACTGAACTAGAACTGAACTAGAATTGAACTAGAACTGAGCTAGAACTAAACTAGAACTAAACTAGAACTGAACTAGAACTGAACTAGAACTGAACTAGAACTGAACTAGAACTGAACTAGAACTGAACTAGAACTGAACTAGAACTGAACTAGAACTGAACTAGAACTGAACTAGAACTGAACTAGAACTGAACTAGAACTGAACTAGAACTGAACTAGAACTGAACTAGAACTGAACTAGAACTGAACTAGAACTGAACTAGAACTGAACTAGAACTGAACTAGAACTGAACTAGAACTGAACTAGAACTGAACTAGAACTGAACTAGAACTGAACTAGAACTGAACTAGAACTGAACTAGAAGAACTAGAACTGAACTAGAACTGAACTAGAACTGAACTAGAAACTGAACTAGAACTGAACTAGAACTGAACTAGAACTGAACTAGAACTGAACTAGAACTGAACTAGAACTGAACTAGAACTGAACTAGAACTGAACTAGAACTGAACTAGAACTGAACTAGAACTGAACTAGAACTGAACTAGAACTGAACTAGAACTGAACTAGAACTGAACTAGAACTGAACTAGAACTGAACTAGAACTGAACTAGAACTGAACTAGAACTGAACTAGAACTGAACTAGAACTGAACTAGAACTGAACTAGAACTGAACTAGAACTGAACTAGAACTGAACTAGAACTGAACTAGAACTGAACTAGAACTGAACTAGAACTGAACTAGAATTGAACTAGAACTGAACTAGAACTGAACTAGAACTGAACTAGAACTGAACTAGAACTGAACTAGAACTGAACTAGAACTGAACTAGAACTGAACTAGAACTGAACTAGAACTGAACTAGAACTGAACTAGAACTGAACTAGAACTGAACTAGAACTGAAACTAGAACTGAACTAGAACTGAACTAGAACTGAACTAGAACTGAACTAGAACTGAACTAGAACTGAACTAGAACTGAACTAGAACTGAACTAGAACTGAACTAGAACTGAACTAGAACTGAACTAGAACTGAACTAGAACTGAACTAGAACTGAACTAGAACTGAACTAGAACTGAACTAGAACTGAACTAGAACTGAACTAGAACTGAACTAGAACTGAACTAGAACTGAACTAGAACTGAACTAGATCTGAACTAGAACTGAACTAGAACTGAACTAGAACTGAACTAGAACTGAACTAGAACTGAACTAGAACTGAACTAGAACTGAACTAGAACTGAACTAGAACTGAACTAGAACTGAACTAGAACTGAACTAGAACTGAACTAGAACTGAACAAGAAATGAACTAGAACTGAACTAGAACTGAACTAGAACTGAACTAGAACTGAACTAGAACTGAACTAGAACTGAACTAGAACTGAACTAGAACTGAACTAGAACTGAACTAGAACTGAACTAGAACTGAACTAGAACTGAACTAGAACTGAACTAGAACTGAACTAGAACTGAACTAGAACTGAACTAGAACTGAACTAGAACTGAACTAGAACTGAACTAGAACTGAACTAGAACTGAACTGGAACTGAACTAGAACTGAACTAGAACTGAATTAAAGTGATCATTACTCACCTTTCTAATACCATCGATTAGTAGCGAAGCTAGTATGAAATTAATCAACGATTTAATCCACAATATTATAGACATGACAACATAAAATGCGTCTGGAAAATTATGCAGCAAAACATAATCAACTGGAAGAAAGAATTTTAAACAAAAGAATTAAATTTTATAATGAGTCGTTTAAAAAAAGTAATTTTAATTAAAAAATTTTTAATTAAAAATGTTTTCAAATTCAAAATTTTTTGCAGAATAAATTAGATGTTATTTAAAACATTTAAAGAAGTTTAATCACTTTTTTGCACTTAAAAAAATGTTTAATAAAAAAATATTTTAATTTGCAAGAAAAGAAATCATTTTCATATATTTCGAGAATTATTTGAGTTTCTGCAAAATTTGTCCATTTTTTTCCTAATTAAAATATATTTCCAAATAAAAATTTGATTTGGAAATAATTCACTTACCAACCGATGACAGCATATTACTCAAAGGATCAATAATTTTCACATTTTCATACGATGCAACGGCCCAATTTGTTAAATTAAAATAATCTCTATACAAATAATAACTGCATAATATCAAAACGGTCAAAGAAAGTAAAATATCTAGAGCAGCTATACTAAAACCCAGAGTACGTAGGTTTAAACAGCAAGAAAAACGTTTCATTTTTTTTACTTATTTTATTTTGCTTTTTTGAAAAGAATTAGTTTTTAAGATTTAAATTGAAATTATTTTATTTTTAAATTTATATTTTTATTTTATATATTTTCAAAATATATAAATATTTATTTTAAAATCGTTTTCACTAATTTCTTTATTTTAGGATGTTATCAGTTTCACGTTATTTGAGCTACTAAAAATTTTATCCATCAATACTTTTCAAAAACTTCTATTCTAATATCTGTCCATCAGTTTTAGCTATTGTCTTGTCTAACCGTCCTTCCGTCTGCCTCGTATATTGTTGTTGTTGTTTGCATTTAACGCATTGGCCCATTGACATTTTCCCTTTTTCTTTCGTTCTTTCACACATTTATGTGTTTTAGTGATTGCGAATGCTGAAAAAAGTACGACTATAATTGTTTTGCCACATAATGAAACAGCATTTAGTGATGTGTGAGTAAGTAGAAAGACCTTTTTCTGCAGTTTAGTAGTGCATTGATCTATGACATAAAAAAAGTTTTCAAATGAATATTGAAAGTGTTTTCAATATGTTCTATGCAGTTTAACAGTTATAGTTTTTCTCTTTCGTTTTTTGTTTATTTTATTCGTTATTGTTTGCTGTTTGTGCGAAATTTTCTTTCAAATTTAATTGACCCCATTTTGAGAGGTTTCATTATAACCCTAATCCCTGTAGAGATTGAGGTCTGTTAATTGGGGTTGTGTATGTGTGTGCTGAGTATGAGAACACATTATTGAGAGACAAGAATTTATGTATTTGTTGGGATTACAACTTAAAATTTAGGGATTGAAAATGGTAACCCAGTGAATTTTTCAGAACTAAGCTTAGAACTGAACTAGAACTGAGCTAGAACTGAACTAGAACGAACAACTGAACTAGAACTGAACTAGAACTGAACTAGAACTGAACTAGAACTGAACTAGAACTGAACTAGAACTGAACTAGAACTGAACTAGAACTGAACTAGAACTGAACTAGAACTGAACTAGAACTGAACTAGAACTGAACTAGAACTGAACTAGAACTGAACTAGAACTGAACTAGAACTGAACTAGACTGAACTAGAACTGAACTAGAACTGAACTAGAACTGAACTAGAACTGAACTAGAACTGAACTAGAACTGAACTAGAACTGAACTAGAACTGAACTAGAACTGAACTAGAACTGAACTAGAACTGAACTAGAACTGAACTAGAAACTGAAACTAGAACTGAACTAGAACTGAACTAGAACTGAACTGAACTGAACTAGAACTGAACTAGAACTGAACTAGAACTGAACTAGAACTGAACTAGAACTGACTAGAACTGAACTAGAATCTGACTAGAACTGAACTAGAACTGAACTAGAACTGAACTAGAACTGAACTAGAACTGAACTACTAGAACTGAACTAGAACTGAACTAGAACTGAACTAGAACTGAACAGAACTGAACTAGAACTGAACTAGAACTGAACTAGAACTGAACTAGAACTGAACTAGAACTGAACTGACTGGAACTGGAACGAACTAGAACTGAAACTAGAACTGAACTAGAACTGAACTAGAACTGAACCTAGGAACTGAACTAGAACTAACTAGAACTGAACTAGACTGAACCTGAACTAGAACTGAACAGAACTGACTCGAACTGAACTAGAACTGAACTAGAACTGAACTAGAACTGAACTAGAACTGAACTAGAACTGAACTAGAACTGAACTAGAACTGAACTAGAACTGAACTAGAACTGAAAACTAGAACTGAACTAGAACTGAACTAGAACTGAACTAGAACTGAACTAGAACTGAACTAGAACTGACTAGAACTGAACTAGAACTGAACTAGAACTGAACTAGAACTGAACTAGAACTGAACTAGAACTGAACTAGAACTGAACTAGAACTGACTAGAACTGAACTAGAACTGACGAAATGAACTAGAACTGAACTAGAACTGAACTAGAACTGAACTAGAACTGAACTAGAACTGAACTAGAACTGAACTAGAACTGAACTAGAACTGAACTAGAACTGAACTAGAACGGGAAACTGAACTAGAACTGAACTAGACTGAACTAGAACTGAACTAGAACTGAACTAGAACTGAACTAGAACTGAACTAGAACTGAACTAGAACTAGAACTGACTGAACTGAACTAGAACTGAACTAGAACTGAACTATAACTGAACTAGAACTGAACTAGAACTGAATAGAAACTGAACTAGAACTGAACTAGAAACTGAACTAGAACTGAACTAGAACTGAACTAGGAACCTGAACTAGAACTGAACTAGAACTGACTAGAACTGAACTAGAACTGAACTAGAACTGAACTAGAGAACTGAACTAGAACTGAACTAGAACTGAACTAGAACTGAACTAGAACTGAACTAGAACTGAACTAGAACTGAAACTAGAACTGAACTAGAACTGAACTAGAACTAGAGAACTAGAAACTAGAAACTAACTAGACTGAACTAGAACTGAACTAGAACTGAAGCTAGAACTGGAACTAGAACTGAACTAGAACTGAACTAGAACTGAACTAGAACTGACACTAGAACTGAACTAGAACTGAACTAGAACTGAACTAGAACTGAATAGAACTGAACTGAACTGAACTAGAACTTGAACTTAGAACTGAACTAGAACTGAACTAGAACTGAACTAGAACTGGAACTAGAACTTGAACTTGAACTGAACTGAAGGACTAGAACTGAACTAGAACTGAACTAGAACTAAGAACTAGGAACTGAACTAGAACTGAAAAGCTAGAACTGTGAATCTAGAACTGAACCGAACTGAACTAGAACATGAACTAGAACTGAACTCAGAAACTGAACTAGAACCTGAACTAGAACTGAAACTAGAACTGAACTAGAACTGAACTAGAACTGAACTAGAACTGAACTAGAATGAACTAGAAACGGAACTAGAACTGAACTAGAAACTGAACTAGAACCTTGACTAAGAACTGAACTAGAACTGAACTAGAACTGAACTAGAACTGAACTAGAACTGAACTAGAAGAATAACTGAACTGAACTAGAACTGAACTAGAACTGAACTAGAACTGAACTAGAACTGAACTAGAACTGAACTAGAACTGAACTAGAACTGAACTAGAACTGAACTAAACTGAACTAGAACTGAACTAGAACTGAACTGAAACTGAACTAGACTGAACTAGAACTGAACTAGAATGAACTAGAACTGAACTAGAATGAACTAGAACTGAACTAGAACTAAAAACTGAACTGAACTAGAACTGAACTAGAACGAACTAGAACTGAACTAGAACTGAACTAGAACTGAACTAGAACTGAACTAGTACTGAACTAGAACTGAACTAGAAACTGAACTAGAACTGAACTAGAACTGAACTAGAACTGAACTAGAACTGAACTAGAACTGAACTAGAACTGAACTAGAACTGAACTAGAACTGAACTAGAACTGAACTAGAACTGAACTAGAACTGAACTAGAACTAGAACTGAACTAGAACTGAACTAGAACTGAACTAGAACTGAACTAGAAACTGAACTAGAACTGAACTAGAACTGAACTAGAACTGAACTAGAACTGAACTAGAATGAACTAACTGAACTAGAACTGAACTAGAACTGAACTAGAACTGAACTAGAACTGAACTAGAACTGAACTAGAACTGAACTAGAACTGAACTAGAACTGAACTAGAACTGAACTAGAACTGACAGAACTGAAACTAGAACTGAACTAGAACTGAACTAGAACTGAACTAGAACTGAACTAGAACTGAACTAGAACTGAACTAGAACTGAACTAGAACTGAACTAGAACTGAACTAGAACTGAACTAGAACTGAACTAGAACTGAACTAGAACTGAACTAGAACTGAACTAGAACTGAACTAGAACTGAACTAGAACGAGACTAAAATTGACCTAAAAATCGTTCCAAAAATTCCTTAGCTTAAAAACACCGATTGGTTGGTTATAATTCCGTCTTGTCCATTAGTGTTCTTGTGCAAATTAATATTTTTGGTTAGCTCTACTAAGGCTTCATCTTCAACATTTTTTCTATAAATTTAACAAATTATTTAAATTAAATAAAACCATGTTAATACTCTCTCATTTGTCAGCTAAACATCAATAACATTGAAATCTGTCCTATATTCCTAAACATACATATTTCCAACATTATTCACTTATGTTCTATACATTAAATTCATTTCTTTGTAGAATTTTGTGGCGTTGGTAATGATTCTAGTGCGATGGTGCATACCTGATATGAGTGTTGAGCTGAGAGATCAAATACGGCGTGAAGTGTATATAACAAATGAAATCATTATTGAACAAGAAGCCAGAAGGGCTAGATTTGGTAAGTACACTATACTATTTTTATCATTCCATAACATTTTGTAGTAATTTTTGTATTTGTATTCTGTAGAACGTGCTAAACGTAGTTCTTCTGTACGTTTACGAGATTCTGAATCCAATACTCCCGATAATGCCAATGATCGATTTATAAGAATCGAACAGTTATTGGCCAGTGATTTATCCCAGTCTCAAATGGATTTAATAATACACGGTGATAATGCCGATACAGGCATTCAAGGAGAAAACTGCTAAAGCTTTATTTGTTTTACAAACATAATTACTTACTTTAAGCTCGAAAGACTTGTTTTTAGTTACTATAAACATAAGAACTTAGAACATCATTTAAAAAAGATAATCATCGAATATTTATTTTTATATATTTAAAATATTTTTGTTTTAAAAATTTTTGTTATTGCATTTTTAAAAAGCTTTTTTCTGGTAGAAAAGCAAAAAGGAACTTAAAACAATCGTTAGCAGGTGCAATATAAATACTTGTATTAAGCTCTCTCTGATCCTAAAGTTATTAAATTAATTAAGCTTAAATTCATTTGTTATGTTTTATTATTTTTTGTAAATCAAGCCTAAATAATTATTTTGCCTAATTGACAATTATGATATTATTCTCATGATTTATGTTCTCACTGATATTTTTATTTTGTTTTAATTATACATTTTAGCTATTAAAAATATACATACATACATATAAATAAATATACAATTGTTGTAAACTGTGGTGCCAATATTTCCTTAATGAATCAAGTAGTGCACAAGTATCTTTACTATTTTAACTAGTAAACGATTAAAAACTCTAATATCGCCTTAACTTATTTCTTTTCTTATAGGAAAAAGTATAAAATATAAAAGATTACTGCAGTAAATCATAGAAATCTCTTCAAGGACTTTAACAAGAATGTATATTTTTCTAAAAATATAAAACTATTCATTAAATAATAAATGAACTTTATATAAAATTTATATTTTTCTATTCAGAGAAATCTAATTTGTTCTATAAGTTTAACTTGGTGTTAAAAATAGTTCTTGTTTTAATTTTAAGTTTATAAAAATTAACTTTTGTATTTAACTTATTAAGTCAATAACTTTGTGTTTGTATGAAAATTGTATGTGAAAATATTAAAATATGAGTGTTTGTTTTTAGTTCCTAAATTAATCATTTTTCTTTTTGATTTTCTGGAAGGTTTCATGGTAAAAGGAAATAAAAAGGAAAAAAATCCAGTAAAAAGAAACTGCACTAGAACTGAACTAGAACTGAACTAAAACTGAACTAGAACATAACTAGAACAGAACTAGAACAGAACTAGAACAGAACTAGAACAGAACTAGAACAGAACTAGAACAGAACTACAACAAAACTACAACAGAACTACAACAGAACTACAACAGAACTACAACAGAACTAGAACAGAACTAGAACAGAACTACAACAAAACTACAACAGAACTACAACAGAACTACAACAGAACTACAACAGAACTACAACAGAACTACAACAGAACTACAACAGAACTATAACAGAACTACAACAGAACTACAACAGAACTATAACAGAACTACAACAGAACTACAACAGAACTACAACAGAACTACAACAGAACTACAACAGAACTACAACAGAACTACAACAGAACTACAACAGAACTAGAACAGAGCTAGAACAAACTAGAACAAAACTAGAACAAAACTAGAACAAACTAGAACAGAACTACAAAAGAACTAGAACAGAACTAGAACAGAACTAGAACAGAACTAGAATAGAACTAGAACAGAACTAGAACAGAACTAGAACAGAACTAGAACAGAACTAGAACAGAACTAGAACAGATCTAGAACAGAACTAGAACAGAACAGAACTAGAACAGAACTAGAACAGAACTAGAACAGAACTATAACAGAACTATAACAGAACTAGAACAGAACTAGAACAGAACTAGAACAGAACTAGAACAGAACTAGAACAGAACTAGAACAGAACTAGAACAGAACTAGAACAGAACTAGAACAGAACTAGAACAGAACTAGAACAGAACTAGAACAGAACTAGAACAGAACTAGAACAGAACTAGAACAGAACTAGAACAGAACTAGAACAGAACTAGAACAGAACTAGAACAGAACTAGAACAGAACTAGAACAGAACTAGAACAGAACTAGAACAGAACTAGAACTAGAACAGAACTAGAACTAGAACAGAACTAGAATAGAACAGAACTAGAGCAGAATTATAACAGAACTAGAACAGAAGTAGATGACATAAGTATTTTTTAAATTTTGTCTAATTAAATGCAAATTTAATAACCTTTCGACAATTGTTACTTTGCGGTCAATAATTTTCCCATTAAATGTAATTGAATCATAAATACAAATTATGTTACTAACTCTTTTAGTACATAAGTAATTCATTTTTCAAACTAATTAAATAAATCAGACATACGAGAAGGATTTCTGCTAATAATGACATAAAATATTAAATGAAATACAAATAATATTCCTTTTAGGTCTTTTAAAGAATACAATAATCATAAACTGAAAAAATAACATGAATATTTAAACTGTTATACAAATAAGGACATCCACCATTTAGACGCCATTTGAATAGGCAGCAAAAACAAATTTAAAGATAACTTTAAGTCAACAACTGTAACAAAACCACAACAACTACTTGTAAGTTTGGGAAATTAAAAATCCATGTGTTATTGTAGTTTTTGTGGTTAAAATATCTATAAACAAAAAGGACTAACCAAGCAGTAGAGTAAAATGGTTAGGAAAAAACATTGACCCTCGAATAATAAACAACAACAAATGAAAATAAATAATTTTGGGAGAGTAAAACTAAAAATTTTTGAGAGCAATGTATGAGCACGCAAGCAACAATTATGAATTTTTCGAATAAAGAGAATTTGAAGAATTTTGCACATGAGTAAAGAGAATTTCAGAAAGGAATGGCCGAATAATGTTTCGATTGGAAATTTTTTATGAAGATGTCAAAACTGAACCTTAGTTTAGTTAGAATTGAACTAGAAATGAAACAGAACTAGAACAGAACTAGAACAGAACAGAACTGGAACAGAACTAGAAAAGAAGTAGAATAGAACTAGAACAGAACTAGAACAGAACTAGAACAGAACTAGAACAGAACTAGAACAGAACTGGAACAGAACTAGAAAAGAACTACAACAGAACTAGAATAGAACTAGAACAGAACTAGAACAGAACTAGAACAGAACTAGAACAGAACTAGAACAGAAGTAGAACAGAACTAGAACAGAACTAGAACAGCACTAGAACAGAACTAGAACTGAACTAGAACTGAACTAGAACTGAACTAGAACTGAACTAGAACTGAACTAGAACAGAACTAGAACAGAACTGGAACAGAACAAGAACAGGACTAGAACAGAGCTAGAACAGAACTAGAACAGAACTAGAACAGAATAGAACAGAATAGAACAGAACTAGAACAGAACTAGAACAGAACTAGAACAAAACTAGAACAGAACTAGAACAAAACTAGAACAGAACTAGAACAGAACTAGAACAGAACTAGAACAGAACTGGAACAGAACTAGAACAGAACTAGAACAGAACTGGAACAGAACTAGAACAGAACTAGAACAGAACTAGAACAGAACTAGAACAGAACTAGAACAGAACTAGAACTGAATTAGAACTGAACTAGAACTAACTGAACTAGAACTGAACTGAACTAGAACTGAACTAGAACTGAACTAGAACTGAACTAGAACTGAACTAGAACTGAACTAGAACTGAACTAGAACTGAACTAGAACTGAACTAGAACTGAACTAGAACTGAACTAGAACTGAACTAGAACTGAACTAGAACTGAACTAGAACTGAACTAGAACTGAACTAGAACTGAACTAAACTAGAACTGAACTAGAACTGAACTAGAACTGAACTAGAACTGAACTAGAACTGAACTGAACTTGAACTGTACTAGAACTGAACAAGAGCTAAACTAGAACTGAACTAGAACAAAACAGAAGTGGAACAGAACTAGAACAGAACTGGAACAGAACTAGAACAGAACTAGAACAGAAATAGAACAAAACTAAAACAGAACTAGAACAGAACTAGAACAGAACTAGTACAGAACTCAAACAGAACTAGAACAAAACAGAAGTAGAACAGAACTAGAACAGAACTAGAACAGAACTAGAACAGAACTAGAACAGAACTAGAACTACTAGAACAGAACTAGAACAGAACTAGAACAGAACTAGAACAGAACTAGAACAGAACTAGAACAGAACTAGAACAGAACTAGAACAGAACTAGAACAGAACTAGAACAGAACTAGAACAGAACTAGAACAGAACTAGAACAGAACTAGAACAGAACCAGAACAGAAATAATTTAGTTCTTTTTTTAATCAAATGTATATTAAAGTTTTTTCAATTCTTTTCTAATACCCACTAATATTTTATTTATTCGGTGGTACACTATTTTTTATTAACATTCCTACACAGAGTTGAAAGCATACTTTTAGGCGACAGTATTATTGCAATGACAACATAACTGAAGATGGCATCACTAAAAACAACAAAAAAAAGAAATAACGGTATAACTAACAGTAAATAAATACAATAACAAAATCTCTGTACTCATAATGACGTCACAACAAACTTGTTGTTGTGTTCAAATAAAAAACGTGAGAATTCTCTTAATGCTCATGAGATTTACTGATGTCGTTTTTACAACTGATTTGTTTTTACATTTTTGTCAATTTTCTTTTTGCTCTCTTTTCCTTAAAGAGGGAAAATTCGCACACACAAGAAATTTGCCGAAAAACGCAACAACAATTTTTAGCGTATTTTCTTTGTTGAGTTTTGTTGTTTGTTAGTGGGAGGGCGTCTGTCGCAGTTTCAGACCCCTTAGACGAGGTGTCTATTGGGGTTTAAATGTTTTAAGTGAAAATATTTTGAATTAGTTAATATTTTGCATTACTTGAGTAAACAGTTTTTTATTTTCTTTATTAAGTAGTCTAAAAATATACAACAAAAGCAACAAGAAATTATGCTGAAATAAATTAAATATTAATAATAATTAAAAATAAATAAAAAACGGAAAAAATATTTCTTTAAAATAGGAAAATTTTTTAATAAGTGTGAAAACAATTTTAAGAAAATGTAAAAGTCTTGAGTGCGTATGAGCAATTTTCAATAATAGTTCATAAAATATTTAAATTGGTGTGTTTTTTTTTTTTAATTTTTAATTTTGTTTATAAAATTCACTAGACAAAGGCAAGTTTTTTTTTTTGTTTTTTTCATATTATTTATTCTCTTTAATTTATGCAAATTTAAGTTTCTTTCATTAGATATTAAACTTGTTTAAAGAAAACCATTGTCAAGGCATTCATCGTCCTTATAATGTTCAAGAATTTATTGATTTAACAGTTTAACTTTGTTTCTTAAAGGTTGGGAACAATGAAAAACTGCATCAAAAGTAAAAAATTGAACTTTACAGTGAAAAATTTAATTTTCAGAAATATTTTTAGTTTTAGTGAAAAATTTAATTTTTAAGTGAAAAATTTAATTTTTGAAGAAAAAACATATTTTTAATGAAAACTCGAATTTTTAATGAAAAATTTAATTTCTAATAAAAAATCGACTTTTTAGAGAAAAATCGTATTTTTAGTGAAAAATATAATTTTTATTAAAAATCTAATTTTTAGAGAAAAAATCTTATTTTTGGAGAAAAATCGTATTTTTTGTTAAAAATTTAATTTACAGTAAAAAAATAATTTTTATGGAAAATCAAACTTTTAAATTTAAATTTATAAACTGAACTAAATCTCAACTAGAACTGAACTAGAATTGAACTAGACTGAACTAGAACTGAACTAGAACTGAACTAGAACTGAACTAGAACTGAACTAGAACTGAACTAGAACTGAACTAGAACGAACTAGAACTGAACTAGAACTGAACTAGAACTGAACTAGAACTGAACTAGAACTGAACTAGAACTGAACTAGAACTGAACTAGAACTGAACTAGAACTGAACTAGAACTGAACTAGAACTGAACTAGAACTGAACTGAACTGAACTAGAACTGAACTAGAACTGAACTAGAACTGAAACTAGAACTGAACTAGAACTGAACTAGAACTGAACTAGAACTGAACTAGAACTGAACTAGAACTGAACTAGAACTGAACTAGAACTAGAACTGAACTAGAACTGAACTAGAACTGAACTAGAACTGAACGTAGAACTGAACTAGAACTGAACTAGAACTAGAACTGACTGAACTGAACTAGAACTGAACTAGAACTGAACTAGAACTGAACTAGAACTGAACTAGAACTGAACTAGAACTGAAACTAGAACTGAACTAGAACTGAACTAGAACTGAACTAGAACTGAACTAGAAATGAACTAGAACGAAACTAGAACTGAACTAGAACTGAACTAGAACTGAACTAGAATGAACTAGAACTGAACTAGAACTGAACTAGAACTGAACTAGAACTGAACTAGAAACTGAACTAGAACTGAACTAGACTGAACTAGAACTGAACTAGAACTGAACTAGAACTGAACTAGAACTGAACTAGAACTGAACTAGAACTGAACTAGAACTGAACTAGAACTGAACTAGAACTGAACTAGAACTGAACTAGAACTGAACTAGAACTGAACTAGAACTGAACTAGAACTGAACTAGAACTGAACTAGAACCTGAACTAGAACTGAACTAGAACTGAACTAGAACTGAACTAGAACTGAACTAGAACTGAACTAGAACTGAACTAGAACTGAACTAGAACTGAACTAGAACTGAACTAGAACTGAACTAGAACTGAACTAGAACTGAACTAGAACTGAACTAGAACTGAACTAGAACTGAACTAGAACTGAACTAGAACTGAACTAGAACTGAACTAGAACTGAACTAGAACTGAACTAGAACTGAACTAGAACTGAACTAGAACTGAACTAGAACTGAACTAGAACTGAACTAGAACTGAACTAGAACTGAACTAGAACTGAACTAGAACTGAACTAGAACTGAACTAGAACTGAACTAGAACTGAACTAGAACTGAACTAGAACTGAACTAGAACTGAACTAGAACTGAACTGAACTAGAACTGAACTAGAACTGAACTAGAACTGAACTAGAACTGAACTAGAACTGAACTAGAACTGAACTAGAACTGAACTAGAACTGAACTAGAACTGAACTAGAACTGAACTAGAACTGAACTAGAACTGAACTAGAACTGAACTAGAACTGAACTAGAACTGAACTAGAACTGAACTAGAACAGAACTAGAACTGAACTAGAACTGAACTAGAACTGAACTAGAACTGAACTAGAACTGAACTAGAACTGAACTAGAACTGAACTAGAACTGAACTAGAACTGAACTAGAACTGAACTAGAACTGAACTAGAACTGAACTAGAACTTTCGGTACATAATTCGAAATTTTGCTTTTTGTAAGCTGCTTTTTTTATCACTGAACTTTCTTTTATTTTATAAAAATCGTAAAAAATTATGCAACTTTCAACCCATTTAACAGGTTTTATTTTTTATTACTTCGCCAAAGATGATTTTCTAAACAAAATTATTAAAAAACCAATACACGAGTAGCATTATTAGGAATAAACATAAACTTGCTAATTATCGAAATTTCGCAGTTGCAAAATATTTTTAATAAATATTGAAACTAGAAAAAATAATAACAAAAAATATAAACACAAATTATAAAAAACACACATTTCTGCAATAATTAAAAGAAATTAAATTATGATAATGAGTTTTAAGGAAAATGAAAAATTGAACCCAATGGCAAATATAAGAAACGAAAGCATTTCATCTTTCTATTTAATACTCTCTCTTTCTGTATCTAATAGTTTTAGACATAATTTTTAACGTCTTTATAGTTTTAATTTAGTTTTTATTTCATTAAACATACATTAAACCAACTAAAGGGAAACTAAACCTTAAACAATACAAGGACATTTTTACATTTGACAGCTCAACAAACAACTGTCATTTCTCCTGCCTAGAAATAAGAGAACCAACAATCCAACATATTACACGTAATAAATATGTATTTCAAATATATTTTCAATGAAATTGTTCTTCATAAATAAGAATTCCGCTGGACAAGGAAATGCCAAAAATAAATAGAAAGCGCTGTCACTGAAGAATAATGGTTTTAAAGAAGCAATAGGGTAAGGTTATGGACAGTTGAAATTTATGACTTAATAATCAAAACAAAAATACGTAAAGAAATTATGAAATGAGAGAAAAACAAAGTTGGGAGAGAGATAGGGTGGAAGATTTAGGGGGAGTAGAAGGATTACAGAAAGGACTTTTAATAGAATATAATGAAGTGCTGCTGAATTATAAAAGAAAGAACTAGAACTTAACTATAATTGAACAAGAACTGTTCTTCTAGAATTGTTCTTGAACTAATGTGGATCTTCAACTAGAACTGTTACTGAGCTAATTTAGAATTGATCTAAAAATTAAAATGAAATAGAACTATTCGTCAACAAACTTATCTTAAATTGATTTAAAACTTAACTCGAACTGATCTTGAACTGATTTAGAACTAAACTAAAACTCATCTAGAAATGTGCTAAAACTGTTTTAGGATTGATTTGTTGCTGAGCAAGAACTCAACTTGAACTGATCTAGAGATGATATAGAATTAAACTAGAGTATTATATAGAACTGAACTAGAATTGATCTTGAACTAATATAGATCTACAGATGATCTAAACTGCTTTAAAATTGATCTAAAATTAATTTAAACTGAACTAGAACAGTTTGTCAACTGATCAAAATTACATATTAAATTGATCTAGAACTGAACTAGAATTGATCTTGACTGAACTAAAACTATTCTAAAAATGAACTAAAATTGATCTAGAATTGTTTTACTGCTGAACGAGAACACAACTTGAACTGATCTAGAGATGATATAGAACTGAAGTTGAGTCGACCTAGAACTGAAAATTATATTATATAGAACTGAACTAGAGTTGATCTTGAAACAATGTAGATCTACAACTGAACAAGAACTGATACTAAACTCTGGCAATGAACTAAAACTGATCTAGAATTGATTTACTGCAGAACGAGAACAGACCTTGAACTTATCTATAACTGATATATGAATGAACTACAACAGATTTTGAAACTGATCTGCTACCAATCTAGAACTGAACTAAGGCTGATCTAGAACTGATCTAGTGCTGACATTGAACTAAACTTAATCTTATGCAGAACTGAACTAAAGATGAACTAAAACTGACCTAGAACTGGTAAGAATTGATCTAGAACTGAACTAGAAATGTACTAAAGTGGACCTAGATTTAGAACTGAACTAGGACTGATAATGAAGATATTTAGAGCTTTATAAGAACTGACCTAGGACTGGGCTAACACTAGAACTGAGCTAGAATTTAATATTGTTTAATATAAATCACATGATTTTAAGGAACGTTGCCATTGCTAGATATTTACATCTAAATTAAATTTAAATTGCGTTTGAAGAAAATAAATAAATCGGTGTTAAAAACACTAAACTTAAGTTATAAAATCTATTAACATTAATTAACAGCTGTTAAACGATAAAATATGGAATTCTAAAGAAAATAAATTACAAAAATTAATTAGCATCACAATAAAGCTAAAGCCCACTTTAAAATGGTTTGAAACTAGGCTAAACTAATATTACAGCACGTGTTTATAACACGTCACAAATGTTTTACTTAAATTTGAGGAGATGAAGTTAAACGAGATCTTCAAGATCTTCTTCATGGCTTTGTTATCATATTGTTTTATGATTGCGAGAAATATAAAAGGTTTATGTCTTTGCTTAAACGATACTATACAATAAATTTCGCCTTCCTTTTGCCCAAAAAAAGTTTTAAATAATTAAACAAAATTTAAGTTTTAACAGTAATTAACACAAAATATTTAGTAAAAATTAATTTTACTTAAAAAAATATTTGTAATTATTGTGTAAAAATAGCTACAAAAAAATAAAATAAAAGATAATGCAACCTTCACATTGACATGTTCCGGCGTACGACGCGTATAGATGTTTGGATGGGTTCTCACAACAACAATACAGACAGAATTGCAACAATTTTTTTTTTAAATCATCACCAGCTGTAGCATGAGTGTAAATATATTTATTATAAATTAAGTACTTTTTTCTTTAAAAAAAATCTATATTTTCTTTCTTATTTTGGTTTAACGCCAAAGTGTGTTTT